TAATAATCACCACTGTTTATCAAGGGTAAATAATTGCTTATGATGGTTTACCATTAATCCTACTGAAAAGCTAGTATATTCATAAAATATTAAAGTGATAGTTCACCCAGAAATCTGCAGATAATTTACTCACCCTGTGGCCATCCATTTCTTTTTTCATTCGGCAGAACATTAAAGAAGATTTTAGGCTGAAACCATGGACATTGGTGATTCATGATATGCAACTCAACATCTACAGGGAGTTGAGAGAGGAAAAAGCACAGAGGCATAATAAGATTAATAACCGTAATAATCTTAATCTTGATATTTTAGCTTTGTCTTATAATGTGTAATAATTCTCAACAGTGTTTAAATGAATGCCAAATTAAATTGTTTAGCTGGTGTGTGTACTGTACACTTTAAAAATAAAGGGGCTGCAGTAACTTTTTAATGATTTTTTTTTTTTTTCAATTAAATTTAAGTTGTACATTGGTTGGGTTTGTCCATATTTGACCCAATGTTGGGTTACGGCAGTCCAGCATTATTTAAAGTGTATTTACATGTCACACGCTTTAAATTAGATCTGGCATGAGCACACTTTACAAATATAGAAAATTTTTAACACTTGTGCACTAACAATACCCCATCTCCTTTTCATTGATTTAAAAAGCAGACTTAATATTTATAGATTTCAGGAGATGACAGGTATATAAATCTTTTTGCTCCACTGCCTGTATTCATCAAGTCATAAAGTGTCCTGTGAACAATGGGAGATGTAAAATCCCCAAAGCAATAGTGCACCATTTCACAAACTGTGTAGGTAGAAGCTAAGTGAAACAAAAGGCTTTTTTAACAACTCATGTTTTAATAAGCAGCAGCTCCATTTCCGCCAGACATTTCTAGTTTTAAATTTCAATACAATTATTCATTCATTCATTTATTTTCTTGTCGGCTTAGTCCCTTTATTAATCCGGGGTCGCCACAGCGGAATGAACCGCCAACTTATCCAGCAAGTTTTTACGCAACGGATGCCCTTCCAGCCGCAACCCATCTCTGGGAAACATCCACACAAACACACTCATACACTATGGACAATTTAGCCTACCCAATTCACCTGTACCACATGTCTTTGAACTGTGGGGGAAACCGGAGCATCCGGAGGAAACCCACGCGAAGGCAGGGAGAACATGCAAACTCCACACAAAAACGCTCAATATATTTTTTTATATTATCAACATATATTATTGATAAAATCAGACAATGTTCAAACTATCTTATACAATCTGAATAAGTCTGTATTCAGATTTGGCTAATTCGATTGACTAACATGGCTACATTAAGGTTAGGCTGGTCTGATTACAAACAAAGTATTTGAGTTCATGTAAACACAGCTACTAAGGTCATATATAGCCAAATGATCAGTCCATGCAAGAAACTCATTTATAGCAATCCAGAGCCACAGCAACCAGTCCTAAGCATGTTCAAGACAGTATTGAGCTGAAGCTTCCTGTTGCACAATTCATCAAAAATGGCTACACATGGAAAAACTCGCACTCTGACAGAAATCCAAACACATGGCAATATGTGCAGATAACATGCTTAACATAGATCATGTTTGGATTTCAGATAAATTTATTACAAAGATGGTCATTTCAAATATTAATTTTAAATCATTAGAATTTCAAATGCGCATAAATATGTTCAAATATGTTTAAAATAATTTTTAGTCATACATCTGATTGTCGCTGATCATGAGTTTGGTGAGGATGCCAATAATGTTGTAAATAATGTTCATTGACTAGCACGGACTGATTGATTTGCTTAATAAACCCTGAGGGTATCAACTCCGAGATCAAACACTGAAATGAGATTAGTAAGAAACTGCACAGGGACAAAGATATCTAAAAACCGAAAAGCGCAACCTCGAGACATTCAAATCTTACCAAAAAAAAAAGCTTTGTAAGCATCTCAGTGACGCAAGGATTTTAAGGATCTGTTAACTGTAAGTTTTTAGGGATTCTCTTTCTGTCAGAAACGGTCTCAGCATCGCCCTCTTACGGGCATGCATTAACCTGCAGCTATGTTATGCAAGTGTGTCACCTACTGGATGATATTAAATGATGAATTGTGTATTGGAAAATATTCCAAATATTATTGAATTATATCAACATGTTGTTGTCTCCATGTACTATTAATATAATCAATAGTTATGATGTGTGCTTCTGAACTTGACCTTGACTGTTTTAATTCAGCACCAAAACATAGGCTATGAAAAAATAAATAGTACTCATTTCAAAACCCAATTAAAATATTAAATTATAGCAAAATTGTGATTTATTAAGCAACATTTCAAAAACAATACATAAAAGGTATAAGAAAATTTGATAACACTGTATAAAGCTAGGGTGTCACAGCGGCACAGTGGGTGGCATGATCGCCTTAAAGCAAGAAGGTTGCTGGTTTGAGCCTTGGCTGGGTTAGTTGGCATATCTGTGGAGTTTGCATGTCCTCCCTCTGTTCCCATGGGTTTCCTCCGGGTGCTCCAGTTTCCCCCACAATTCCAAAGACATTGCGTAAGCTAAATTGTCTGTAGTTTATGTGTGTGACAATGACTGTAAAAAATATGGACGACGCGACAGCCCTTTTTCCCATTGAACGCCTTGAGGGCAAAACGCCTGCTTGACGGGCACAAACTGTCGCAAAAGACTGCTGAAATTGGAGCCAGACATGCGCAGAAGGATTGTCTGATGGAGCCAGAGGAGGAGCCGCGAAAATGAGCAGAGTCGAGCTTCCAATCAAACGCTTTATGTAAAATCAACTACGCCCCCCGAACTTCTCAGCATGCGTTTGCTGTCGTATCAACACAAATGGATGTAATAACTTTCACAAATATGAGGGGTTTATATATTCAATCGCGCCAGCTCCAGGCCGCAGCGCATAACTTACTCGCGGCGTCGCGGGCTGATTCCGGCTCGCATGCGGCAGCGCCTGCTCGCTCGGCCGCCGCATCTGGCTCGATTGACTCGGACTGGAATCGGGCAGTGAGTCCAGGCATCCGGAGTAGGTCCAGCAGAGGTAACATTAGTCAGTCTGAGCTCTAAGAGATAAGTCTCCGGCAGGCGAGAATCTAGCCGGAACTGTGTTTTGCTATCTGGGTGGCTAGGCGTGTATCAGCAAACTAATAAAGCCCGAAAAAAGCCCTGAACTTAGCGAATAAACAGTGTTCCACCAGGATCATGTATGTCAGAAACTATAGTTTACTGCTGAACTCATTTTGTCATGGTAAAATAACACAGAAATCGAATAATAACATTTCAGTCTACTTCAGTCTTCTGCCGAAGCTCAGACGCGCTGCTTTGAGAAACTGTCAATCACAGCTGTGTATCACGATGACACGCCCAGCATTAAATTACTGCTAAAAACAAACTGTTTACAAAAATGAAGATCTGCACCTATTTCAGCACAATAACCAGTGCCTTAATCGACCAGAACTATCTTTCGGGACATTTTATTGCAAGTGTAATATTTTTTTTTATTTGGGCTCAAGTCTCCTTCATTAACACGGAGGAGGCGGGCTTTATGACTTGTACTGCAGCCAGCCCCCAGGGGGCGATCTAACGGCCGAAACCTTCACTCAAACGTAGGCTTGCGGCACACTTGGGTGTGTGAATGCAAGAGTGTGTGAATGTATGTTTCCCAGTGATGGGTTGTAGCTGGAAGGGCATATGCTGCTTAAAAGATATGCTGGAAACGTTGGCGGTTCGTTCCGCTGTGGCAACCCCAGATTAATAAAGGCATTAAGCTGAAAAGAAAATGATTAAATGAAAAAATGTATATAACTAAATGAATACTTTTTTACCTTTTGCTTTAAAAAAATTGGTCTCTTCTATCCCGAAAGTAGGCAAATTAATATTTTTGACTAATTTTAACCAGGTGGCTCAGTGGTTAGCACTGTTGCCTCACAGGAAGAAGGTCGCTGGTTCGAATCCCAGCTAGGCCACTTGCCATATCTGTGTGGAGTTCTCCCTTAGTTGGCATGGGTTTCCTCTGGGTGCCTGGTTTCCCCCACAGTCCAAAGACATGCAGTTTAGGTGAATTGATTAAAGCTAAATTGGCCGTAGTGAATGCGTGTGTATGGAAGTTTCCCAGTACCGGGTGGTTCATTCCACTGTGGCGTCCCCAAATTAATAAAGAGATTAAGCCGAAAAGAAAATGAATGAATTAATAATTTTAAGCACAAAGTGTTTGCTTTATGTTAAGTAACTGTGTAACTAATAGCAAATGATTATTATAAACACTTTTACCATTAATCAAATGCTTTTTATATATTTTTTCTTTTCACACAGCATGGTTAAAGCAATAGTTCACTTCAAGAATGAAATGAATTCTTTCATCATTTCCTCACCCCTTAACCTAATCCTGTATGCCTTTCTTTCGACTGTTGGCCACAACAATATCTAATATATATTTTGAAAATTGTTGGTATCCGAATAGTTGATAGTCACAAATTAGTCTAACGTTACTATGGAGATCAATGATAACCATTCATTCTGGAAGTAAACTAACCCTTCTTCGATATGTGAACATTAAAACCTTTCAACAAACAACCACGTTCAAGGACTGTTGTGTCATACAAACATTATTGCTTTGCTTTAATGCGTTAACAAGTATTTGACCAAGTAACGTTACCTTGAAGCCAGCAACCGTCTTCTGATAACTTTTGCCTGCAGTGCTCCCGCTCTCCTCCTGGTTCGAGGCTGGAAATAGTGGCGTGCGAACTAATGATCAGTTTAGCTTGCAGCGCTCTCTGTTGGTGAAAGTAATTACTAAATACTCGATTGTTTGTTATTTGTTGTTCACTTTAACGTGTATTTACGTTCTGAGATTTTATATATAGTATGCAGTGCTAAGTTTTTATTTTTATATGTTATTTTCTTAACCTGGAGCTATGAAATACCGCAAAGAGAAGTGTTTGTAATCCTGACAGAAATGTTAAAGGGAAAAATGGCAGTGTCTTTCTATTGGCTCAAAGACGGAAGTGACGCATGCCGGCCGGTGGCGGGAACGTATCCGCCGTCTTCATTGTGTGCCGCTCCGTCATTCTTTACATAAACCCTAAATAATTCGCATAATTGCTATTATACCTATTTATTTATAGATATGTTCTGTCAGTATCAGATAACAAAGGGCTTGTGACGCTGTCCTGAAGATTTAATCAACGTCAGGAACACAAACATCACAGTGCGCGAGACCGACCATTATCAGAAAAATATTGATAGCACAATGAGCTTTTTTAACCTGGACCGGTTCCGTTTCCAAAGGGACAACGCGGTCGGCATTCACCGTAAATCACCGGACGGCTCAAACTCGGACAAAGAGAATAAGCAGGGTAAGAACTGAATCAACCGTTTTTTTGTTTACCGTGTATAATAATGGCTGGCCTTTAAAACTAGTAAGCTGCCTAATGTTACTTAGACAGCATGTCAGACATTAAACCGCTTTTGTTTTTGTGTGTGATAGTGTTAATAGGGTGGGAAATTCTAGTTTTTCTCGTGTTAGTGGTAAAATTCTGATTGTCAAACTTCTTACTAGCACTCCATTTTTATTAACCATTAGCGTACTAGACGTAGAATTACATAGCGTTCTCATATCACATCTGTATCGTAATTTTTGTAACGTGACAAAGTATGTTGTTTGACAAAATGTCTTGAATCTTCTCTCTGTAGCTCATCAAAGAAAGGCGGATGGTCAGTTTCCATCAGGCAAGACATCAAGACAAGTACTAGAAGATGTTTCTTCAGATGACGAAGTTGTCAGGATGGGCAAGTAAGCGAGATTAGGATTTTGTCAAAAATGATACAATGACACATCTTTCAGCTGTTTCTGTGGATTTAGTTACATTGTTACAAATTGCTATATCTTTTTTGTTTGTTGTTAAAACGCAGCATCAATGCACTAACGCATGATAATGCAATTACTTAACAGGGATTCAGCATCAGATTTGCAGCAGCATATAAACAAGGACATGGAGGACAAAATCATTAAGCTGTTAGAGATATTCCCACAGAAGAGCAAGAAAGATCTACTAGAGGTAATGAGAATGTCAAGAAATGGAGGTTCTTGAAAAATTAGGTGAACGTTGTAGTTTGTTTGCTGTTATCTAACTTGATGTTGTGACAGGTCATCGAGAACACCAGCACCCTGGATGGAGCTGTAGCACATTGTTTGATGATTTATGGGGATGAAGGTAAACTGTTTTTATTAGAATTTATTCAATGCTTTGAAGGTTGATTGCTGAATATTTTAGTCATGTATTTTTACACATTTGCACATCATTCCTCATTTTACTCATTTACTCATTTTTATGTCATTCCAAACCTGTGACACTTTTGTTCATATTTAAAGGGCAAATAAAGATATTTTTTAACAAGTTTGAAAGATTTCTGCCCGTCTATTAAAGGCTGCTCTGATAAACCACTTGTGCTTCAAAACCTGTTCTAGAATATTTATAATAAAAAAATATATATGAATCAAGTCATATTTCAAATTTATTTGACTTACAGATTAAATTTTTTATTTTATTCACATATAAATGGTCACAAACAGAATTTTAACCATACCTGCATGATGCACAAGTACAAACCTCAATGTTTCTTGCAAAATCTCTCATGTTCTCCGTAATTCAAGAATGAATCTTATTGATCCATTTGAGTCAAGAAAACAATTTCAAGCTTTTGTGTACATATCAGTATGCTGTTATGGCTTACTGATTGATGCTTGTATGTGAGCAAAAGCCCAAATTAGATTTGTTGCTCATATAATATTATTGTGTGTTTTCAAAATTTCATATTGTATTTCATATTGTATGGATTTTTTATTTCCGTGTATCTTTTATGGATATTTTGAAGTGTTTTGTTTTGGGTGAATGTCAGTAGAGGTAAAGCAGTCTCTTGGATATGACGAAATGCATATTTATTTGTTTTCGGAAGGTAAATTATTATCTTGTGGGTTAGTAAAACACATGAGGGTGAGTTAATGGACATAATAATTTTTGGGTGGGTTGAATTAAGTTATAAAAATCATTTGTGTATGGGTTCTTTGCTGTTCAACATGTTAATTATCATAAATGCAATCAAGGCTTTTTTTATGCAGATTCAGGTGGGCGCAAAGACAAAGGGGGTCGTAGTGATGATGATGATCAGCCAAAGAAGAAGAGAAAAATCCAGGTGAGATTCTTTTTAAACATAACATCATTTTAGTATCCTTAATAGACAGCAGCACTGAACGATTGTTATGTGCATTTATTTATAAAGCTGTTTTATTATAAAACCCACAATAATCATTCTGCGATATTAACAGGTTTGGCAAAGCTACTCTGTGAGCCACTGCCCTTTGTGGTAAATGCATTCAGGTTTAACATGAGCAATGTGGAAATAGAATGATGTTTCAACTGAATTTGCTTCATTGCTTCAGTTGAGTGTTTAAAATAAGTCTTCTGCAAAATGTGTCTTTTAAAACAGAATAAAAATGCAGCATATTTCAGGGCTCGAAATTAACTTTTTCACTTGGTAGCACCGGTGCTCCCAACTTCAAATATTTAGGAGCACCAAAAAAATTTTAGGAGCACCAGAAAAAATTTAGGAGCACCCACCAAAAATGAATGAGCACTGCTGCAAATTGTTTTTAAGGGATTTATTGTATTTTCAAACAACATCAATATGACTGACAAAAACCAGAAACAACTATCTAACTAATGTTGCAAAGACATTGATATTTGTGTGCAAAAATTCCAAAATGAATGTCGAATAATTAGGCTATAGAATGTTAATGATGATGAAAATGAAAATAATAGTAACAATGAATTACATTTCTCATTATGATACTGCCTTGAACGTGCATGAATGTAGGTTATCTGCTATAAAAAGTCTGTTACTTTATGAAAAATAATTGTATAGTTTGCATCAAAAAAAACGAAGCATTGCAGTAAGAAATATTTAATTTGTACTGCTGTTTTTATATGCACGTCAATTTAATAAATAATATTTCTGCTACAAAACAAACAAAAGATTATAATAAATCATTTAATTCAATGATGAAAGCTGCAAAGCAGTCATCAGTAAATAAATAAAAAAATAATATACACCTCAAAAAAGAATAGACAAAAGAAAGTAAGCAAAATCTCACTTCTATCACTCTATAAAAGTTTTGGTTTCAGTTTGTGTCAATTTAAAGGTTCAGTCTGAGATGATCTTCATTTTTCTGTGTTAGTGGAAAAGCTGACGAGTCAGCCGACCCAATTTATGAGCAGGTTGAGCAGAATTCTTGCGATGACAACCGGCGCAATACCGGTCTTTGTTATGAGCCGCAGTTTCAGTGTAAACTTAGTAAAGGCGAGCTTCTTTGGCGATGATATGTACAGTATATTAGATTTGACTTTTGGCGGACATTTGCGCTGAACACGCAGTGAATGCAACGCATCGAGATTCGGGCGCCTTCTTCAAGAAGCGCATACTCGATTGATCTCAGCTGGCGGATCATTATTCACCACGTGACGTGTCATGATCGCTCTTATTTTGCGCCTGGTGGAGTTTGCAAACCTGTGTGCTTTAAGTTTTCACTCTTCAGCCGTTTGCATTTCCCGTGGTCATAAAAGCTCCTTCCCTGTCATCTGACAGCGGAAAGCCTTGAGTGATTAACAGCTAATATGAACCAATATAGCGGCAGGGAAGAGCGATTCAGCATGTTTTTACAAAAAATCAAAAAAGGTCGCACTACAACTATTATCTGCAGTCGCACGAATGCGCCCAAATATGGTCGCAATTTGGTCACAATTTCGAGCCCTGTATTTCATCATAGCATTCTTATAAGCGACGACAAAGGCATTGCACCAATTCATACTTTATTACAAGGAATATTATAATGAAAACTCAGATAAGCCATATGTTGCCGTGGTCAGGTTTATTAATCTATTTGAATTAAATGTAAGCAGTTTAATCATCTGTTTATTCTACACTATAAGAAATAAGACATTCCTCAAATGATTTGCAAGACAATCACAACTTTTGCTAAATTGCAAATGTGGTTTGATTGTGTTATTACTCTGCCCTAATAGAAAGGACGTAACGTCATTTGAAATATTGGTTTATTCTGATTTAGCGTTCAGATTCTTCTGAGTCTGAAGATGAAGATTCCGAGGATGAGGAGAGCGAGGAGCCAAGCAGAGAGAAACAGGAGGCCCTGCTAAAGAAGCTTAAAAGGAAACTGCCTGACATTGAAAAAGAGGTCAATAGAGCCATATTGTAGGTTTTAAAAAAGCATAAGAGCAGACAAAAGTTCTGGAAAGTTTATGTCTTTAACTTAATTCACAGGTCTTAAGAGATATCCTTAAAGAGCATGACTGGGACTATGAGAATGCCTTGGGGTCGCTGCTTGTGTTTTCATCAACAGGTGATTATTAAATTTTGACTACATTTGAATATTTAAGTCTAGCAGGAAATTTTATTGTATGAATGAATAGACCTAAAATCATCTCTTTTCTGTTATAAATTCAGATACAAGTTCACCAGAAAATCAGAAGTCAAAACAAAAGTCAAAATCCTCGCACTCTAAGGAAAAAACTGACAAAATCACACAAAGGCCCAGCGGCTCGTCTAGTCTGTCTCGATGGCTGACAGCAGCATCATCTCATGTGCCTGAAGTATCAAGCATGTCTGCTTTAAAAACACAAAAATCTGCACTTAGCAAAAGCACAAGCAAGAACTCATCCTTTAAAAGGAAGAGGGGCGATGAAATGCCACTAAATGATGTCAGCGCCTCTGAGGATGAAGATGAGATTGACAGTGATGTTGATAGTATGTCTGATGATCAGGATTCGGAGGACGAGGACAGCATCTCTGGCACTCTTCAGGACAAGATCATTCAGTTCCTTCAAGATGCTTCCCTAGATGAGCTCGCCCTGATATCTGGCTGCTCGATCAAAAAAGCCCAGAAGATCATTTCACTGAGGCCTTTCAACACTTGGAAAGATGTGGTAAGGATCTGCTGTCTGTAACTTTCTTGTTAATCTTTACTGGCAGTTATTTTGTTTGGAATTATGAAGTGCTCCAATGGTATTATTTATTCTTTAGCTTCAAAAGAAGATTCAGGTTTGACAGTTTTGTATTTTCCTGCCGACAGATTTAACATATTTAATCTACAAGAATGTCAGTCTCTAGTTTCAGTTTTGCTATAAATTCACAAGGCTTTGTTTATAGTGAAGGTATGCATGTCGTACATGCCTGTACATGTATGCATGTTGAGTGAGGGGATCTACAGTGCATTTTATTATACATTATTATTGCTGAAATAGGGCTACCAGTAGCCTGTTTTTCATTATTATTTTCTTTTCTATGAACAATGCAATTGTGGCAGTGTGAATGGAGGTAGGATTACACAATTTATATACTAAAAGCTAATTTTTTTTCTAAGTTTTATTTATCCATTTACTTTTTAATTAAGTTTTGCAGACAGATGAATATTGTGTCAGAACAATATCTTCCACACAGATCATCAAAAAGAACCAAAAAAAGTTTTATGAATGTCAGTCCAGTAGATGGTGGTATCACTTTAGACACGATTCATTCCTGCGCACACAATGTTGTTATTTTTACAGTGCTCAGCATATTTGAGTACACCCAATTTTGAAAATGTATATTTTTACCCATCTCTCAGTGAATATAGGCAATGTATTTTGGTGTAATTAAACAAAACAGATTTATTAAACGGATATAATTATTAAAATAATATTTTAGTCACCAAACATTTGAAATTTGACAAAATGTTTGAGAAATTGAAAGATACTACAATTCAATTCAAGCAATAATGTTTGGCTTCAGTAATGATTAAGCTAATTTATGTGCACAAATATTATATTGTATAGCTTCCTTATAAAAAATATGAATTTAAAAGATTTGTGAGGGGTGTACTTGTATATGCTTAGTTTGCGTTCCAGACACAGTCTGATGTGAAAATTTCAACTTGAGATATTTTGACCTCAATGCATTCGAGACATTTGCGTGTCAGCCACATTTTTTTTTCATGTGAGGTGAATATTTAACAACATTTTGTTGTATTGCCAATTATGGCTATAACAAAAAGAACAGAATTTTTTTTGCTGTACTTTAAATACAGTGTACAAAAAATACATTTCACTATAAAGCTAGTGTGATCTCAGAAATATACTTTATTAGTAGAATTCTCACTCGTTTTTGGTGTACGTTCTTAAAAAGTTTGTTTATATGTTTCATATAAGATAGCACTGTACGAATTTCACTGAAGCAGAACTAGCCGTCAACTGTGAAGTGATTTTCATATTAAAGTATAAAGGAGAATTCTTGCCTTTTTTTTTTTTTTTTTTTCATCTGCCCTAAGCTCAATATGTTATTGTGTTGTAAGGTAATGATAAAAAAATTTATGGAGTATGGCGATTTGTTTATATCTGTATGTTTTAGTCTGTCCTGCTAAATGTGAAATGGTTTGAGAACAAAAGTTGGTGACTCTTGAAATTACCATTCTTGCATTGAATGGTCAACTTTTTAGATTTTCATTGTCCACTGAACTGCTGAGGAAATGGCTTTGGGTGGCATCTCAATTCTCAATTGGGGACAATAAAACTCTGTCAGCAAGCTCCAGTTGATACTGAACATCACTTCTGCTACATTAACTACTCAGCCCAATGCTGGAAAAGCACTGATTGAATTTCTCATCCTTTTAGAAAGAGCAGTTCTTTAAAGATAATGGCCTGTCTATAGACCTGGTACATGGCTGCAAAGTGGTGCTTAAGGAGAGGCAGGTGGTTCTAGACCTCATGGGAAGATGTGAGAAGATTGCACAGAAGATGACCAAAGATGTCACTCAGGTCATAGAAGCGGGCATGGGCTCCATCAAACAACCCAAGGTCCTGAACAGCAAGTAAGCTCATCTCTTGATGTGCCATTTTAATAGAATAATGCTACATTTATTTGAACGTGTCTTTATTTATTTATTTTAAAAATTCTGTTAGTTTAAAACTTCAGGCATATCAGCTGATCGGCTTAAAGTGGCTGATTCTTCTTCACCAACATAAGCTGAGCGGCATCCTGGCAGATGAAATGGTGAGCTGCTGCCAACTTCAGTTCATGTCGTCCAGTAAATCCCAGGAGGTTATGGATTTCTTTTTAAGCAAAGGGCTATTAGCATGGATATTGGTTATAAGTAATTTGATCTTTCCACAGGGGCTGGGTAAAACTATTCAGGCCATCGCTTTCTTGGCTCATTTGTATGAAAAAGGAATCAAGGGCCCTCATCTTATTACCGTACCCTCATCCACACTGGGTAAGAGACATACCTATTTTAGTGTAAGCGTAGCATTTAAATTCGCATTTGAAGTCCTGCTTGAGATGATGGATTGTACGGTCTTTCTTTGCAGATAACTGGGTACGTGAGCTGGGGCTTTGGTGTCCCAGTCTCAAAGTTCTTATTTACTATGGTGAGAGAGTTTGCAGGCATCACTAGCGCCACATTTAAACCCTGATCTTTGTATTTGTTTAACAGTTTTGATTTTTTAAAGAGATCACATTATACATTTTAATGTTCATGAAATGAACTTGATGTTTTCGTTTATTACATTTTCAAAATAGTCCACTTTTTTTTTTTTACTCTCTCCATCATTCTGTTTATACTTTTAGGGTCTGTGGAAGACCGCAAATACTTGCGACAAGACATCCTCACTGGCTTAATTGATTTCAACATCATTGTATCCACGTAAGTTTAAATGGCTAATATGCTGCGATCCTTATTTTTTGTGAATTAATTTTAAGAGGCTAGGCTTTGTTATGAAAGTCAGTTTTTTTTTTTATTTATCGGTGCCTGTCTATTTCTTCTTTCATCTATATTAGGTACAATCTCACAATAGGAAATGACCATGATCGCAGTCTCTTCCGCAAGCTGAAGCTGAAATATGCAGTGTTTGATGAGGGCCACATGCTTAAAAACATGAACTCGCTACGCTACCGCCACCTTATGACTATCAATGTTAGTACAAGCACTTTTCTGCACCACAAACATTGTAAATGAAGTGTAAACAGATGCTTTGTACAGCAATTCTCATTGTTGTTGTTTTTTCATATCTACAGGCTGAGCACAGATTACTATTGACCGGAACGCCTTTACAAAACAACCTGTTGGAACTCATGTCCTTGCTGAACTTCATAATGCCATCCATGTTCTCCAGCAGCACCTCACAGATCTCCAAAATGTTCTCTACGGTATAGACAGTACATGGGTTCTGTTGAAATAATAATTTGTGCCACCAAAATAGAACCTAATTAAAAAATCAAATTAGCCAGAGATCAGTCATCAAGATTTAAAGATTAATCATCTGCCAAATCATCTTAGATTAAGCTGGAACTGCATTAATCGCTATATATTCATAAAGAATACTCTTACTTGTTACCCATCTTTGTTTCAGAGGTCCTCAGAAGAGGAAAGCAGTTTTCACAAGGACAGAATCGCTCAGGCCAGACTTATCATGAAGCCATTTATCTTGAGACGAGTCAAGAGTGAGGTAGACAGTTTTAAAAAAAAAATGTATTAATATTATTTATTTTTTATTTTTTTCATTGTGATTATCAAGTCTTTGATATTTATTACTTAGTTACTAAATTATGACACTGGAGAGACACTACTGAACTGATTAACTACTCTGCAAGTCTTACAGAATATGCCATATGCCTGTATTGTATCTTCTATTGTGAACAATTTGGTTTTAAAAATGTCCTTCATATATCATTCTAGGTGTTGAAAGAACTTCCACCAAAAATGGAAAAGATTGAAATGTGTCCAATGAGTGATGCCCAGCATAAGCTGTATGACATACTTTTCAAAAGACTCAAGAAGACTCCAAATGGAGACAGTAAGTACTATTCCGTTTTTATGCCAACCATTTCATCTAGAAGTAAAGCATGCTGAAAATGTATGCATAGGCTGTCAGGAAAATTCAGGGTTTCCTCTCACCGTGAGAATCTGTATAAAAAGTGTGACTGTTTAAAAACCATTTTTCTGTCTCTGAACGCCTGTCCCACACTTTCTCTCATCTCTTTGTCCTCAGAGAGGGAGCTTTGCAATGTGATGATGCAGTTGAGAAAGATGGCTAATCATCCGTTGCTGCACCGCCAGTACTATACCAGTGACAAGTTGGCTGCCATGAGTAAAGCCATGCTTAAGGTGAGCAGTAGAAGATTTATCTGTATGGTAGGTTGAATAATAAAGCTGAACTGTGGCTCTAAAATCATAACATTTCATCATGGATCCAGGCCTGGGTGCTTGTTTACTGTAGTAGGAGGCTGCCTTGCAGTAGTTCTCCTGAAAATCATGGGCCTCTAGATTAATTAATGGTTTAAAATAAGATTAAGCAAGCATTAAAACAACATGACTTGTGAAAATGTTTATTTTAGTTTACTCAATAACAACAACATTAATCCCACTGTTTTTGAAAAAAAGCTCAATATATTAGGTATTTAAGGTTTTGTTCATGATTGACAGTTTTTTTTTGGATTGTTCTTATAGTGCAGTTTTACCTGGTTTTCTATTCATAATCTTGATGTTGCCCATTACAGTTCAATCTCAAGAGAATAGCCTGGTCGCTACTTCCCATAACTTCTTTGTGCGAAATTCAATTCAAGTTTAATTGTGTAGTGCTTTTTACAATAATTATTATTCCGAAGCAGCTTTACTAAAGGTGCACGTTATTACTACATTAGTCAAATTTTTTTATGGAGCTTTGTGTAGGGTATGACAGTAGTGGTGTAACGGATCACAAATTTCACTGTTCAGATCACGTTATGTTTTTTTTTAGTCACGGATCGGACCATTTTTCAGATCAGCCTAAAAGAGATGACAACAAACTTACTTTCCGTTTATTACAAAAACAGTACTGCAAGAAACTTTTTGTTTTAACAAACAGAACTTAGAACCTGTAATTTTATTAAAAATTAAATTAAATAATCAGCTGAATAAAAATTCAGTACTGTGAAATATTTACTGTTACTACTACTTTTGCTGATTAATTCTAATTCTAACATTAGAATTTATATAATTCACATTTATTTTTAGTCTAATTTTCAATAAATTATTTAGTTCTTCACTCTCTTCAGTTCCTCAATTTCATTGCTAGATGAATCATTTTTGAAGAATGATTTAGTGGCATATTTTTGATTGCTGGTTGAGGCCACCTATTGGTTAAATATTGTAATTGCTGCCTACATTTTTCCTTTTTGAGCATATGACAGGACAGTGATTTTAATCTTTACCATAAACATTTGTGGTTTTATCTAAAATATAAACTGTTCTTTCTGTACTTCTGTGTTACTTGACTGTTTTTAACTTCATAACTCAAAAGACTAAAGACTGAATCTCTTTATATAGATCAGATGCAAAAACCGTCTAAAATTTCCATCGAATAATTATGTAATGTAATAATGTAATAATTATGTTGTTGTATTGATGTTGAAATCCTGATCTTTTAATGATTAATTGTGCAGCTTACAATGAATGCATTAATGCAGACTAAACAAGTAGTGACAGGAAACACTCTTAATATCCTAAGAAACCCACCACATCCCGAATAACCTTCCACAACTTCTTTTGTCATCATTATATTTTACAGCAAAGCCTAAATGATTTCATACATGTGATTGGAATGGCCAAGAGGTGATCTCTCTCTGTGATAGTTAAAAATTTTGTATTAATCTACAAGTAAAAATATATATTATTCCGCAGGTCACATGTGTTCTGAACCATGAGTTGGGATTCGCATGAATTATGGATTAACAGTGATCCATTACACCCATGCTGGTTTCTATAACTTTGTGCAAAATTCAATTCAATTTGAATTGTATAGTGCTATTTACAATATTTGCCGCTGCAAAGCAGCTTTACAAAAGGTGCATGTTAATACTGCATTAGTAAATTCGTTATGGGTTGTTTGGAGGGTGAACAGTAAATAGACATAGTTAATCTACAGTTATTAACCTTATTCTTCACGTACAAGTGGTCGCAGCTATTAAAATCTATTTGGCTCGACACTTCCAGTCTCATTCACTCACTTCCACAGATTTTTAAGAGTGAAAAACAGCTTGTTATGCTGCTTGGTGTAAGCGGTTATATAAACGCGCACACACACACACACACACACACACACACACACACACACACACATACATATATATAAATATGTTTATTTTTCTTAGTTTATTATTCTTAGTCATTTTTCTAATAAGGATTTCTAAAACCATTTCTAAAAACAAGCACACTTCCGCATAGCAGAATAAGGCCAATACAGTCTATAGTGTCCTTCAAAAAGGGGATGTCTGCTGTATGTATAAAGCACCTGTTGTTGAGTTGACATGTTCTTCTCTCTGCTAGGAGCCAACACATTACGATGCTGACCCTGCATTGATACAGGAGGACATGGAAGTGATGTCTGATTTTGAGCTGCATAATTTATGTAGGGAGTACAGCTCAATAAGTGGATTTCAACTGGAGAAAGCGCTCATCTTAGATTCTGGGAAGTTTGCACTGTTAACCAAGACGCTTGCCAAGCTCAAAGAAAAGGTTTGTTTAAGTCCCTTTAAACAATCTGATGAATCTCTTTGAGATTAGTTTATGTATTATTGTTTAAACATCATTATATATTTCCCAAGGGTGACAGGGTGGTGCTCTTTAGTCAGTTCACCATGATGCTGGACATTGTGGAGATTCTGCTCAAACATCTTGATCATCAGTATGTTCGCCTGGATGGTTCTACTCCCATGGCGGAGAGGTAAGCACTACACTCAACTGAGTATTGATATTCAGGGCTGAGTATCCTATTGCTTTGCAAGAAATTATAACTTGATCTGTCCATTCCTAGTCAAGTTTTCTCAATTATATTAGCCATACCAACCATTTTTTTAGGTGGGCATACACATTGCTTTCTTTTATTAAATCGTACAAGTCCATACACACTCTCTTTTTTTTTTCCTATTGAGAGAAGTTGTCTGAAAATTGTCGATCGTAGTGGCTCATATGAGAGGAACTTACGGGCCAAGCTGAGCTGCTCATGAGCTTTGGGTTTGAATTTGTGAGGTTTGAGCGGTTAAATGAGCTGATCTGTTGATCTACCTGGAGTTGATCAATCAGAAGGATAAACTCACTGTAATTGATCTAAAAATTGTCATTGTTGGTCTTCCCTTTTTCACAATGACTGTTGATTCACTAGTATCATTCAAACGACAGCTAAAAACTCATCTCATCTGCAATCACCTAAACTCTTGTGAAACCAGGACCCCCCTCTTGTCTCTTTTACACCTAACTACATGACAACCCCATATTGAGTGTGCCTTACTCAGGTGAGTGGGCTTGACAAACCACCTGTAGACAACACACTCTTTCCTCGGACACTTAAATTGACACTTGTATCAAATTTGCACCAGACACATTTTTACCAAAACAAATGCACTTCATTTTTAAAGTGTGCTTCACACTAGGGATGCATCAATTCACATTTTGGTTGTACAATAATAATCTGAGGAATAATCACAATTTCACCGCTATCATGCATTCATTGATTTTAAAATACTGCTAGCTTAGAAAATCGCATGAAAACTCCTTATTTTAAAGTGTTATTTATTGCTGCTCAGGAGCCACTTAATACATCACAAAATAATAAAAACAAACATTAGTCAATTTCTCTTTTTTGACTTAAAAATAAGTGATTTTCTTTGCATTTAAACATAAGTAATACGTTTACAGTGGAAATAGATGACAGAAAAATGAATGAATAAATAAAAATAAGAATACAAAAAAAATTGTTTTTGTCTTTTATGTAAATTTATACTACATATTAGTCAAGTGTTTCCCTTTTAAAGAGAACAAATGTAGTCAAATTCTGCTGAACCTCTGTCTGAAAGGCACTTTTGATCAACTATATTACAAAATTGTTTGGTTTTTTTCCTTTTGTATTTTTTTTCCCTTTGGAGTAGAAATGTTTATTTTCCATACAAAGTATAAAGCTAACTGGTCAGTTCTTGCCATGTGACTCGCAATACGCTCGTGGCATTATTTTAACCTGATGCGCCTGGAAAGCATGAGTGCAATGTGCCGCTTGTGCGCCATGTGTAAAATAAGCGTGTGCATGTGTATTTGCCTCACTGTACAAGCTCAAAACTTTAAAGTAGTGCACAATTGGCATAACTTTTAGTTGAAGCAGTTTTGTTTCGTGCAGAAACGTGGTGTAAAGAAACCTTTACGATTAATTAACTGACGACTTAAATCGCGGTTAATAGTAAAACCGGTTAATCGCTTAATTCATACTTCACACAGGTGAGTGGACTCAACAAAGCACTTGTAGAAACACTTTTCTTTATAAAAAACACCACTTTTTACTCTAGCACCTAATTCTCTGAGCATTAACCTTTCCTTTGTTTAATGTGTATATTGCCTCTTGTTGAATTGCTGAATGCCACCTCAATTGTAAGTCGCTTTGGACAAAAGCATTAGCTAAATGACTGAATGTAAATGTAAACTTTTATGAGAGGGGGAGATGGTGTCTCTAAAAAGTAATGAAAGCTGTCTTTGTGATTGTTTTGGAATTTGCTATTTCATTTATGGCTTACGTTGTCATAAATGACTGCAACCAAACAATTTTCATACAAACTCAGTCATGATCTGTTCATGCACATACTATTTCCAACCATCAGAATGACACAATGTATGCCTTTCTTTATTCTTGAGAAACAAAACAAAAATTATTGCGAATGTGGCATCTAAAAGGTGTTCAAAGTGATTTCCAGAAGTTAAAAAAACAACAACCAGAACCAGGGCCGGATTAACCAATGGGCCTTATGGGCACAGGCCCAGGGGCCCGTGCGCACTAGGGGCCCCTGCGAGGGGGGAGAAAAAAAGACAATTTCCTCTGAGCAAAATAATCGCGATCACATATTAATATTATTATTATATTTAAATTGCCTTTCTTTCTTTAACTAAACAGAATGCTGTAATTGGTCAAGTGCGGAAACGTCAGTTTTGTAATCCGCACTAAACTGAGCGGACTTTAGTGTAACGTTATATCTGTCATAGATCAAAAATTAGTGGACAAGTGGATTTAGCAAACGCGAGAGAAAGGAGAGGAGGCATCCTTATTGAGGCATTTTCCATACACACCTTCTTTAAACAGACCCGTGATCAGGAGAATGAGGGTACAGAAGACGACGTTAACTTTAAATGATGAGTAGCTAGCATTAACCAGGCGGAAGAGGCTACGGATAGTTTTAGGTTTATAATCAAGTCTTCATCACGAGAAGAGTAGAGAAAATACAGGGAGAGGAGGAGAGAGACAGTAAATTAGTGTTTGTATTATGAAAGACTCAGATTCATAGAACTCAGATTCATAGAACTGGATTGGAGAAGCATTGTGCGTTATATGCCATGGCAATAATATGCTTTATAAGTTTGTAAAAGCAATACACTAAAATACCCTTAAAAAAAAATTATTATATATATATATATATATATATATATATATATATATATATATATATATATATATATATATATATATATATATAGTTTTATTAGTATTTTTATTTAATGCTATGAAAAATAATTTAAATCTTTGCAGACTATAAATACATATGTACTATATATTATATATTTTAATATGTGGGCAACAAATTATAGATTCATTTTATTTAAAAATTATTATATTATTCTTATTTTTTTTTTAGGGGTGCGGCCAGGTAGGGGGCCTTACAAGATAATGTGCCCAGGGGCCCCTGAGTTCTTAATCCGGGCCTGACCAGAACCACTAAACATATTTGAGAAGATTTTGCTGCCTGTCTGAACAAATGTTAAATCTAATCCAGTTCTCTTGGCTTTTCTAGGATTGGTCTCATTGACAAATACAATACAAATCCTGAGATCTTTGTGTTCCTTCTGTCGACTCGGGCTGGAGGTCAGGGAATCAACCTTGCTTCAGCCAACACAGTGATTCTGCATGACATTGACTGCAATCCGTTCAATGATAAGCAAGCAGAGGACCGCTGCCATCGAATGGGGCAGACCAGGTGAGTGTCAAAACATTGAACTGGAGCTAATAGTGAACCAAAGCACATGTGGTTTCCAGCAAGTTTAATTTAGTTTTTACACATTTTTATTTTGATACTGTTTTAAAGTTTGCTGTACATTTAGTTTTAGTTCATTTCATTGATGTTCTGTTAGTTTTAGTTTATTTTCGTATTTCGTTTATTTGTATTTTTTTATATTCAAATTATACATGCAGTTAAACGTGCCTGGTTTACTTTTTAGGGTTTTTTTGGCAATAGAAGTAAACATAGAATCTGTTTTAAGAAAATATGTTTTTACATTTTATGTGATGGGTTTGATTTTGTTTTTTCCACCACAGAACTAGAGCTTATAAATTCTGAAACTATTATAAATTTTTGCAGTCAATTTAAAATTTTTATTTAATTTGGTTTTGCAGTGACTATTGTTAGTTTTGTTTGGTTTTTGTTATTCATTTGTTGCAGATTATTTAATTTTATTTGTTTTTTGGCCAGTAGTTAAAATAACTTGTGGTTCCTGATCATGTTTTTGCATTACAGAACAGTACAGGTGATCAAGCTCATCAGCAAGGACTCAATTGAAGACTGCATGCTTCGTGTGGGACAGGAAAAGCTAAAACTAGAACAGGACATGACTACTGATGAAGGTGAGTGTCCATGTACAAAATTAGTTTATATATTTATTTATGTATGTATATGTATATGTTAAGTGTTTTTGTTACTGTTTTGCATAATCTAATTAATTGTATGCTTTGAAACACAAGGTTGTGACTTGATTTTTTTTTTCCATAAAGGCTTTTTAATGAAACTTTCATTGCTCTGTTCAGGTGAGGATGGTGCTATTACTGAACAAATGGCTGAACTGCTCAAAGTCTCACTGGGCCTTTAAAACCTAAAGAACATTTAAGTCAGAGCGTGCTACTTGTGCTTTTCCCACTCTTCATCAAAATTAAACATGGCAACTTGGTGATGTGAGGTTGGTAAGGACTAGCACTTTTTCCTTGTGTATCCAGTGTTCACATTTTAGACGAGAGCCATTACATGCAACCAAATCTTGGACCAATGTGCTGGAGGTAAATAAGCTTGTGTTACTCAGGGACCACCTGAAATGCTCATTTTAATTATTTCTCTTAATCCACTCTAGAGATCCATTTCATATATGCCATCTGAAAGAATGTACCTCACATATTGTGCTCTGTTTAGCCTACTCGGGTTGTTTACAGATTTGTGACTTCAGAGTTTGAAAACACTGCTGTAGATAATTGGTTTTTCTTGTTTTGTAACAGTTTTGTTGTTTAATCTCTATGTCCTTGTATTGAGTTTTATAAATAAAGTAAACTACATTTCCTTAATGTTTGATTAATCTTTATAAATAATTAATAATTTGATTAATCAAGGCTGATGGATTAGCACTGTGGCCCTTGGCATTGCATCCAGAAAGTATTCATAGCGCATAACTTTTTCCACATTTTTTATGTTACAGCCTTATTTCAACATGGATTAAATTAATTGATTTCCTCAATTCTACACACATTACCTCATAATGACAATGTGAAAAAAGTAATTGTTTTAGTTTTAATTGTTGCAAATTTTAAAAAAAATTTAAAAATGTAAAATTACATGTACATAAATATTCACAGCCTTTGCTGTGAAGCTCTAAATTGTGCTCTGGTACATTCTGTTTACACGGATCATTATTGAGATGTTTCAGCAGCTTAATTGGAGTTTGTCTGTGGTAAATTGTTGATTGGACATGATTTGAAATGACATTCACCTTCCGATATAAGGTCCCAGGGTTGACGGTGCATGTCAAAACACAAACCAAGGATTGTCTCGAGGCTCAAGGCTGGGGAAAGTTACAAAAAAATTTCTGCTGCTCTGAAAGTTCCAATGAGCACAGTGGCTTCCATCATCAGTAAGTGGAAGATGTTTGGAACTACCAGGACTCTTCCCAGAGCTGTTCGGTCATCCAAGCTGAGTGATCGAGGGAGAAGTACCTTTGTCAGGGAGGTGATCAATAACCGCATGGTCACTCTGTCTGAGCTCCAGCGTTCTTCTGTGGAGAGAGGAGAACCTTACAGAAGGACAACCATCTGTGCAGCAATCCACCAATCAGGCCTGTATGGTAGAGTGGCCAGACAGAGGTCATTCCCCACCTGGAATTTGCCAAAAGGCATCTGAAGCACTCTAAGACCTTAAGAAACTAAATTCTCTGGTATGATTGCTAAAATTGAAGACTAAGTATTCAGAAGATTAAAATTGAACTCTTTGGAGTGAATGCAAGGTGTTACGTTTATAGAAAACCAGGCATCGCTCATCACCAGGCTAATACCATCACAGCCTGGCAACATCATGCTGTGGGGATGTTTTTTTAGCAGCAGGAACTGGAAGACTAGTCAGGATAGAGGGAAAGATGAATGCTGCAGTGTACAGAGACATCCTGCCTGAAAACCTGCTTCAGAGTGCTCTTGACCTCAGAATGGGGTGACGGTGTATCTTCCAGCAGGACACTAACCCAAAGCACACCACCAAAATAAGAATGGAGTGGCTTCACAACAACTCTGAAAATCTGAAAATGGCTGTACATCGTCGCTTCCCATCCAACCTAATAGAGCTTGAGAGGTAATGCAAAGAGGAATGGGCAAAAATTCCCAAAGATGGGTGTGCCAAGCATGTGGCATCATATTCAAATTGACTTGAGGCTGTAATTGCTGCCAAAGGTGCATCAACAAACTATTGAGCAAAGGCTGTGAATACTTATGTACTTGTGATTTTTATTTTTATTTTTTTCAGCTTTTTTATTTTTATTAAATTTACAACAATTTCAAAATTTCTTTTTTTCCACATTGTCTTTATGGGATATTGTGTGTAGAATTTTGAGAAAATAAATGAATTTAATCCATTTTGGAATAAGACTGTAAAAAAAATGTGGAAAAAGTGAAGTGCCATAAATTCTTTCCGGATGTACTGTAATTGTGCACCAGTTTGATTCAAACGAATAAAAATTGTATTAGCATGATTGTCTATCCAATTGAGAAAAATGTTTAAATGGTCTTACATATAGGACCAGTGTGCAGTAGAAGATCACAGGATTAGTCAACCGTTTGATTTATTACAAAATAAATAATATTTTTTTCTTTATTGACTAAAAAATGCTCAAGTTTTTTTTTTTTTTTTTTTAAGTTTTCCAGAAATGTCCAGACATTTTTTCTACTTTACTGTGCTTTAGAATAGATGTATTAATGCTTTAATGCTCTTTTACTATTACTAAATCCCTAATTAATACTAAAAAGAGACCTCAGTGACTATCCTAATTAAAAAAAAATATTTAAAGTGCACCGCATTTTTAGTATTCAGTTGGCTGTTTATCAAACAAATTTAAATATATTAGTCTAAGATAATACAAATAGACAAATTTGAAATAAAGGTTTTTATTATTAAGGGTAAACAAAGTACAAAGCTATTGTATTTTGTGTGGGAAAAGTGTTTCCCTCTGAACCTAATAACTGGTTGGGCCACGCTTAGCAGCAACAACTGCAATCAAGCATTTTTTGAAAACTTGCAATGAGTCTCTTACAGCACTGTGGAGGAATTATTGCCTGCTCATCTTTGCAGAGTTGTTGCAATTCAGCAACATGGTGGGTTTTCGAGCATGAACTGCATTTTTAGGGTCAGGACTTTGACTCGGGCACTCAAGTCTTCATTTTGTTGTTCTTCAGCCGTTCAGAAATGCTATTGCTGGTGTGCTTTGGATCATTCTGCATCCTGCTGTGAACCCAAGTTCACTTCAGCTTGAGGTCACTAACAGACACCTGGGATTGTTGGCTCCACATATTGTGGTACACAGCAGAATTTATGGTTTCATTTATGAAGTGAGCCTTGTCATGTATGGTTTAATCACAGAAATTCTTTCAGGCCCTAAAGCAGCAAAACGGCCTCAGACCATCACACTACCAACATGGGAAACACACCATCCAAAAAGTAAATAAATTTTGATCTCAGTCCACAGAGTATTTTCGCAAAAGTCTTGGAGATCATCAGGATTTCTTCTGGCATTATTTGTCCCCCACCAGGCATAAAAAAAAATCAGTCAACAGATTAGAGTAAATCTTTGAAAATTTGATGCACAGTTTTCCAATTATAAAGATTAATTTTTCTTTATTGTAATTGTTTTGTACTTTTCTATCACAAGAAGCTCTTCAGGCTTTGTAGCTGATTGTGACAACACTTCTGTTTGTTCATAATAAACAGAAAAAGAAAGCAATGGAGATTTGTTGCAGTAGATACCACAGTACATACTGAACAATGACTTCAGTGTCATTTACATTTTAGTCATTTACATTTCTGAAGTGATGACAAGGAAACGTTTTTAAAAAAAAAAGTGAAAGCAAACATTTTTATTATGATTTTATAAAGACAAATCAAGAACAGCAGTGCATATCATTCACACAACAAACAGGTTAAAATCAATACAATGTTTAGTTCAATGTAAAGTAAGGAAAGCATTTTATTGTGACAATTTTTTGAAGATTAGTTGATGTACTGTATATGCCATTGGTAGAGCTAAAATATTAGACTATCATATATATATATATATATTTATATATATATATATATATATATATATATATATATATATATATATATATATATATATATATATATATATATATATATATATATATATATATATATATATATATATATATATATATATATACACTAATGCTACTATAATTAAAGTAGTGTTATTCATGGCAAGAATTTGTACTAAAAAGGACCTTAATACCCACCATTCAATCATTGCCTAATTTGATTACAATTCTGATTAAAATTATGGATTATATTGTTGTAATGACCTTTCTTGATTGTCCACAGTGAGTCTCAGGTTGTGAAAACAACTGATCCTGACACCAAAAGAGCAATCAGGAGTATCAGGCCATAAGTTACACCAGCATTTTTCCCTCCAGACCGCACAAACATTTGATTAATTTCAACAGGATTTGCCGGTTGCCACATTCTTGATTGTCCAACTCCCACCAAAGAACCATTAAGATCTGTCATTACAACCACAGAGTTTGTCACAGTCATACCAACCAGTGGTGGGCTTGTATATGGTGGAAGGAGGACCGGTTTTAACTGACCACCACTGAATACACCAGACTGAACACAGTACAACACCTGACAACCATCACTGATTGCAGCGAGATGTTGACTGAACTGAGGCGGACAACGAGATTCACCATTTGAGAGGGGGTTGCCAGATTGACAGCTGAAGAAGCCACCAAAAGGCACAGCTGATTTTGTTGCTTTGACATAATCATTGCTCAAACAAACCATTATTGCTCTAGATAGAATTGGTTGGACAAAGAAATTTGGAGGACACGTATAAGATCTGGTAAATGGATTTTGCATCGATGGTCCATACAGACCTCCAAAAATATATCCAGAATACTCAGGAATTTTCTGAGTGGAGTAACACCAGAGAGTGTCCACTTTAGCACGGCGGATGTAGTTAACATTGTTACATGTTTGGGAACAACAAGTAGACCACCCTAAGAATCCACAGGAACGGCAGTTGTCTTGGCATTCGTAACGAGTATAACCTCTCTCTATTATCTCTGAACGTAATAGGGTGGTGTTGTACTTCTGAGAGCAAGAATAACCACCGGTGGCTGGGTTTTTCTGTGCCATTTCATCACAGATGGTGCTTCCATCTATTGTCAATGGAGTGCATTGTTGGTACATGCCACCAAAGCTAAGATTGGTGATCGGACCCTCACATGAGACATCATCTACATTTGCCTGGAAGTTGAAGTTTTTGGAATCTACATTTACACAACCGGGAATGGTGTTCACTTTATAGTATTGCTCTGCGGCCTGAGAAACAGACAAGGCTAACTTGCGTACTAGAGCCTCTGAGATGTCTGGAAATGTTGATGGATTAAGAAAATAGTGCAGCGGCAGCCCAGAACGGTCAATTGCCACCAGATTATTGAGCGTACTTTCCTGCCACTTCTGCAGAGTCATGCCTGGGTAGAATAAAGCTCCTCCATGGCTCTGAATTAAAGAGTATGTGATGTTACCCTGATAACTGCTGTTTAGAGAGGTTTTTTGACCTCCATTGTAGCTAGGATCTAATTTAACTTTGTCAAAGAAGTTAAAGCCGGCTGATGCAGAAACGGAAGACAAGTCTAACTGATTCTTCAGGATATAAGACATTTTTAAATAATCCTCTTGCACCAAACTGGCACCAGCTTCAACACTTGTGATGACATGAGTGCCGTAATCAAGTATGAGTTTCTCTGACAGGTAAGTTGCTAAACGTGTTTGATCGTTTGTAATAGCATCTGCAATTTCCTCTACTTGTTGAGCAAAGCGGGAGTCCAAAGGGAAATTAGGATACGCCTTTACCGTGTAGAGACGATTACGTACCTGAAAAAATAAATAAATAAATAAATCAAAATGTTATGGTGAAGTTGGGCAAACATTATTACATATATGTATTCTGACATTTAACATATGAAAATGATTATGCAAAATAATTTCCCTATTATAAAATGTTGAAGTTAAATTGTTTATGTATGATAATTTCTGACTTTTTGTAATTAAAGATATGCAAGTAGATTTCTTTTGTAAAGATATCGTTAAGACTTACTTGAACTCGTGATGTTACAGAACTCTCTTTAACTTGGTGGGTTTTTATACGCTGATGTTCTCTGGAGAATTTTCCATTGAGCCACGAGAAGAAGGAAACATCAGCATTAATGGAGCTTGAAGTTGAGCTTTTCTGGTCTAGCCATGACATGATCATCTCAGAGTTTGTTTCCACTGTGTTTTCTTTCTGTGGAATAACAAAGACTTCATCTGGAATGAGATAGACTCCATCTTCTGTGGTCTGACACTGGGAATAGCTCAGATTCATCACTCGACCCATGTCTATGTTGCGCAGGTTATCCCAACCTCCACCTGGTAGAACCTCCAGGGCAACCAAATTTGAGTTTTTATGACACTCATTGAGTCCATTGCTGGGACGAATGAGTGGAGAAAGGTTGCAGAAATTCATACAACAGCAGAGCATCAGCAGAATGAAGGCTCTTGACTCCATGATCATCTGGTGTGCTGTGTAGAAGTGCTTTTCTCTTTCAGAACTGCATCTCTTATTTATAGGGTGTGGTATTGGATTGTGGATGGGGTTTATGTTTATCACTGAACCAGTTTAGGTAATAAACAATAGGCATTATGACATTACTATTTATTTAGTTAAAACCATAAACACAAAGAATTCTTTATTTCTAACAACAGGACACTAAATGTCTAATACAAATACAGCATATTGCTAAGAAAAGACTACAATTTTCAAACAACTTATAATTTTGTACAATTTGTACACTATACTTGTGTATTTGTCTATCAATATAGTTTGTTGTAGTTTCGTTGTATATTTTTGTTGAGTTCACCTTGTTTAATATATTATTTTAGGATTTATGTTTAGATATTCTAATAAGTCATGAGACCGTAGCATTCAAAAGAAACTCCTGACACACCTGGTCAATGTTGAAAGCAGCTCTTTGCCGAAACACGTATGTTTAAAAAAAAAAAAAAAAAAAAAAGATTCGTCATGTGAGTTAAGGCTTTTTAATATTTTTTCCACATTTTTCAAATGCCTTGGACTGATTTTTGCTTTCTTTTCTGATGAATCCCTTGCCCCAAAACCACCGACACATTATTTAAGCTACTCCTGAGCACTTTTTGTTTGATTTTGGCTTGTAATTGTTATCTGACCATATTGTAACTTACGTTTATATTTACATGTGCTCGATGTAAATAGCATCTATCTCTAAAAACATTTATATTCTTATCTGGTGTAAATGATAACACTAGAGTAACAGTGCATGAATAATGATATACTAATATGTAAACTTAGCATTACATTATTATGATCTAATGATGAGTTTAGGTATGCGCTAATCATAAAATAACATTAAAAACAACATTAGTTCATGTGTGAATTAAGGCTACCTTGATTACTTGTTTGTACTTGTTTAGTTATTGTATTCAACATGTATTATTCAACACTTTAAGTTAAGTTTAATCAACTTGAACTTGTATTAACATATGTTTGTCACCACTTTACTTGTTGGAGCACATTGTCATTAACTCATTCTGAACTACTCATGATAAAGACGGAACACTTTTCTTTAGCGTTTCAATGTAAACATGCAATAGATGGATGTGCATCAAGTTCGTGAGTAGTTAAGAATGAGTTAATGATAATGTGCCCCCCAAGTAAAGTGATGACAGAAACGTGCATTAACAGGTATAAATAAATATATTTAACACTGCTTAATATTTTCAAGTCACCTATTTTTGAGGGCTTCATTACAGTATATGTACAGGTACACTGCAGTGTTAAAAGCTGCCACCTTTTTGGCAAACTAGCAACTGCACAACTTGTGTGGTGTTTTATTTTTATTTGTGTGTGCCTTTCAGTTTAACCTGCCTTGTTTTGTTAAGGATAATCACTACTATTTCAGTCCTCTCGGCACCTTCTTTCTGTTTCTACCTTTAATTCTGTTTAATTTTCAATATTTATAGCTTTATTTTTTCTTCCGTCAGCCATCAGACTCCTTATCAGCTGACAGGAGTCTGTAACAATGGACTGTCCGTTTTGCGTCTATTTTGTTAATTAATATATGTTTAATATACATTAATATATGTATTTGTATTAAACTGTGCATATGACTATAAACACTTTCTTGAATCTAACTCTATATTTGGTCTGTTCTTACCATTTAAATCACCACCTTGTGCCCAGTCCCCTAGTCTTTATAGACCACCATTAACTAGCTCTTCCAGCCAACAGAAGGGCACAACAACCTAAAGGTTAAAATAAAATAAATGTATTTTATATATTTTCTGATGAATAGTATACCGGTAACCTTCAAGTTTTATGCTCTATAACACTGGCGGATTTAGAAGCCCCAGCTGAAATCTGGTTGACCCCTTCCCTCTCAGGTATTGTTGATTTATATCGAAGCATGGGCATAAAGCTGCATTTCAATAGATGTCAAACACCAGATGAAACCTGTTACTTCTGCTATTTTTCCTGTATGACAAGTGTTTCCTTACTGAGAATAGACTGCTGTGTTCAGAACAACATTGTTACATGCATGTTGAGCACCAGATTAAACTGGTTTCTTCAGCAATTGTTCCCGTATGACAAGTGCTTCATTCCTGTAAATCAACTAGTTTGTTTGGAAAACATTGTTACAATGCTGCAATGTTACTTGGCACAGTTTGACTTCAGACAAAAATGGATGGACCAGAATTGATAGTGATATGAGAGTAGGTTAAAGAAGTCACGTTAATCAGTTCCAAGCTTTATTGTTCAGCATTCCAACTTTTATATGTTGTTAACTTACCAATTTGAGCTGTTATGTCATTGTCATTTTTTACACTGGTAAAAGTGTGCTTCATGAAAAAATCAATAGTGAAAGCAAACCACTCAAACAGGTTCTGTGCTGTCAATGTTTTCGGTTTAGAATGGTATTATTGTGGGTTTTTTATTGACTCTAAAAGCATTACAACCACAGAAACATTGTAAGGGTGGACCTGTCAAAATGAAGGACATCATTTATTAAAGATTTTCAGTTATGTGACATCTAGCTATCACACAAAAATCCCATCTAAAAATATAGTTGCTTTTTTGCCTTACAAATTGCACAAATGGTAGCTGTGCATTAGTTTAGGACAGGTTATAACCCATATAAAGACTTACGTTGTTACAACCGTAGTATTTGTTTGAAATGGGTTTGTCTCAACTAACAGGTACTTATTTTGTATTGAATGGGTTAAATAGAATCGCATTACTGAAAAGAGACTAAAATGCAATTTTCATAGACTAAAACATTGTCATCAATTTTGTAGACTAAAATGTCATCAGTTTTCGTCGACTAAAGCTAGATGAAAATAGTCATTGATGATTCTAAAATAGACTATAACCTGACTAGACTAAAGAGAGTATGAACGCAACTAAAACTGATAAAAACTAAAATATCAGCTTCACACAAAGAGAAAAAAACTTGAACCATTGAATTACTCAGTAGGAAAAACAAATAGGCCTTATGTGTGTGTGTGCACTTGTGGTTTAGACAGCAATAAGAAATTGCTGTGTCAGTGTTTGTGGATTGTATACATTTCTTAAAAATTCAATCAGTTTGACATTCATGGCAACTTTTTGTAATTGTACTTAGCTGTCCTATGGGATGAGTTTGTGGGTCCAGAACTGACGACAACTGATGGATTTCTGCAGAGACAACCCTGCTAGCAAAATTCATGTGGCTTAAATCCGACCCACATACCGCATGGAATGATGGCACTTGGGCGGTCCGCTCCTGTTTGCCAGATCTGGACCACAATTAAGCCATAGCAATATCACTTTCAAGCCAGAATTCAAGCAAATGAACCAGAGCTGACCCTATTCTGGGCCTCAGTTTGCTTTTATTCTGGCCCAGATCCAGCCCACACCAGACACTTACATCTGAATGGTATGATGGCTCTAGGGTGGTCCGCTTCTGTTTGTGAGATCTGGGCCACAAATAAGCCAAAGCAATACCACATATTAGCCAGAATTCAAGCAAATGAAACAGAACTGACCCTATTCTGGGCCACAATTTGCTTTTATTCTGGACCAGATCTGGCCTACAACTTACACTTGCTGGGTGTGGCAAAAAAAATCCAAAAATCCCAGCATGCATTGCAGTATGAATACATTATTAAGCTTATTGATGCTCCAGTTTTCATTATTTGATTTTGCTGTTTATGTTGACGTTGTTGCTTTTGTCACTTTTAGAAACCTGTTTGTGAGTTTTGTTCATTTTGTTAATTGTCACCGTTGTTGAGGTTCATGCTCTGATTATTGATGTCTCTGTGAGCAAAGCTGAACCATGGATTTTTTTAAGCTTATAAACCTTCATAATTCTGTGGCATGTGCAAGCATGTTATTACGTTATTTTTAATAATGTATTAAACATTGGTTAACATCAATGAATTATATTATTTCATCATAGGTTGTGCCTCACTTCATTTTTTTTATTTTTTTTATTTTTTTTTAACTTGGCTTGTTTGCTGTAATGAATAAATTTTTCAAGCAAAGTTCTTAAAAGTTACAGCAGCTTAAAAGAAAATTTATATTAAGAGGTTCAGGGCTATGATCCCAACTAAAGCAAACACTTTTCTCCATGATGGTGACTTTAGTCTATGTGACCCACATATGTTTTAAGAGCACTGGGCCACATTTGCCATATCTTCTCTGGGGCGCTTTAGGCTCACAACCACATTAGCCAGAGCTAAATGTGCCAAATATTTGGCAAAAGTGGCCCACACTTGATTTAGGGTAACTGAGCCACATTTGCCATATTTTCTCTGGGCCAATATAGGCTCAAATCCACATTAGCCATAGCTTACTGTGCCAAATTTTCGCCAAAAGTGGCTCACATATGTTTTAAGATAACTGGGTCTCATTTTCCATATCTTCTCAGGGCCACTATAGGCTAACGGCTGCATTAGCCAGAGTTTACTGTGCCGAATATTTGCCAAACTGGCCCACATATGTTTTAAAATACCCCCCTTCCCTTGCCATTATTCAGGTGGGCCACTTCAGTCTCACATTTATGTCTGGGCCGAAGGAAGACAACCAGGGCCACATAACTGCCTAAAGTGACCCACATTCGTATGCTATCTGGGAACACTGTCTGTTGTTTGCTTTCACTGCCTAGGGACACTACAAAAATAAGAGATAAAAAGAAAAAAGTTATGTACCAGCCATAATACAGTAAACTCTTTTTAACATTCACGGCTTGTTTCAATAATAAACCCTTTTGAATGGTTTGCTTTCACTATCGATTTTGCTATGACACACCCTTTTACCTTTGTAAAAGATAAATATGACATGACAACTCAAATTGCTAAGTTAATTTAACACAGTCATGAGTGGAATCCCGCAAAGCAAACCTTGGAACTTCGATCAATGAGTGACATTTTTAGCCTGAAACATTTTTATCTGAAAGTGAATGTGCCAAGCACATTTTAACATTTACAAATTTA